ATACGTGACTTGACCAGTGTTCATAACGACAATGATGATGATGATGATGATGATGATGACGATGATGATGACGATGACGATGACGATAATAATGACAATGACGATGACGATGGATGTATCATAAATAAATCTAAATCATTAACATGATTTTCCCTTCTACAGTTGTTCTTACTTGTGGTCATTTTGTTGTACTGAGACAAGCGACAAGAAAACAATTTTTACAAAGTTCAAGTTGATGTGGAGTCGTAAAGAGGTTTTTCTTTTTTTTTTTTTATTATTTTTTTGCATTTTTTGTATTTAGATTCTTAGTGTCTATGCTTGTCTTATATAATTTAAGTTAAGAGAAATAATAGCAAATAAATTCCTCTTTCGACTTGAGACGAACCTATCGATACCCTTCAGTTGATTTTCTTACAGATTTAATTAATTCATAGATTGCATTCAATCGGCTATCAATCGGAACATTTTTATTGTCTCAGATAATAAAAAGGTTTTTAAACGTCTGCCCAAAAAAAATTCTCTATTCTTATGTATGATGTGGGACGGGGATGTCCTTAATAATACGATCAATAATTTTCAAAAAAACAAATTGCAGTAATATGCAGTCTTCTAGAGTCAGAGACTCTTCCCCTTTTTAACATTTTATGCACGATGAAAATGATTAGTATTCATATGACGATTTCATATTCATCAAGTGCGCTCTTAATATTTTATGAAGACTTCAAAGTGAAAGCTTAATTCTAGGTATTGCACAATTTTAAATAGCAAAACTAATGACCCTTTTGATGGAGAGCATGAAAGACATAAGTAACGTTGAAGATTGGAGAAGGAAAGGTTTCCAGCACCAATATTATTGACATTCTTAACTTAATTCTTGGCAAAGTCAAGGCTTTTCAATGTGGTTTGCCATGTAAGTCAACTACCAGTAGGGGGTTAGTACATAATTTTATTACACACCAATCATCTAAAGAGTGAAATGTCAAAAATTTTGTATATTTTTTTTTTTTTTTTTTTCTTATTTTGCTATTAAAATGTTTACAGTGTTAAGGTTTATGCTTTGGACGTTTCACGTGTCATACATTACGTTTTGCGATCGCAATGGAATTTTGTTCTCAGCTATTAGTTCAATGTTTTCAAAAAATTTCATATGCTTTAGTTGAAAATAGTCCTACTAATCGTGAATGCCGTTTGTTTTACATGTTGAAAGGTTACGTATTTACATTGCACTGAACAATAGAGTGAATCCTATAAAATATGCTAAACTTCAAGAGTTTTCAATTATAATTATCTTACGGTAATTCAACGGCAAAGATTAAACAAGGATGAAATATGATATTATTATATAACTTGGAATTTCAAATCGATCGCCATGATCGCCATATATATATTACTGAAAACAAATAATGACTATTGTTCCAATTACACTTTATTTTTCGACGAAAGAAATAGAAGAAGAATTTTCCGATTACTAAATTGGATGGAAAAAAAAATGCACTTGCACTTGGTATAGAATTGTAAAATTTTGGCATAATTACGCTTGATCGAGTTTCCGATATCGATCTCACGATTTGTATCAAGCTTGAATATGAAGATCAGTTCAAAGATCTTAAGCTTTGAAAATGGTTAAATGACAATTATTCCTCCGATAGATGATGAAATGATTGAAAATGGCATAGATCAAGCTACACCTACTCGCGACCTATTTTGAAATTAAGCAAAGTTGCTTTTATAAAACGAATTAAAAATCATCCCCATACCATTTATAATAGTATTCGTTCTTGGGCCTAACATATGTCGCTATACTAAATTTTACCCAAATATCCCAAAAATGGCAACCACCGATAGGTTAGGCAAAAGAAAACAAGACGTGTAGGCGGACAGACAGATAGGTAGATAGAAAGACAGACTTTATAAAGGTGAGTCTATCTCAAGCCTTTCTGGTTGTTACAAACTCATTCTATCCTTGTAACGCAAGCGCTGGAGTAAAGACTTGTATAAAATTCTAAAATTTTTTTGACATAAATAAATTAATTTTGATTTTCCATTTTTTTTTCTTGTTTTCTTGTTTTTAGTTAAAAGTTCCATTTAATGTAACATTCGCTTTACGAGCCCGCGACGTTATAGTCGATATACAAAAGAAAGCGCTAAAGGTGGGCATAAAAGGTCAAGAGCCCATCATAAATGGTGAACTATGTGCTGAAGTTAAAATGGAAGAATCGCTTTGGGTATTACAAGATAGCAAATCTGTACAAATCACTTTGGAAAAGGTATAAAAGTAATTTGCTATTATTTAAAATTTCGTCCTCATAATTATCTAATTTTTTTGATGTCAAAAAAAAAAAAAAAAAAAAAAAAAACGCAACTCATTTTAGGTGAACAAAATGAATTGGTGGGATCGTTTGGTTGTGACTGATACACCGATATCCACGCGTAAAATTAATCCCGAACCATCGAAATTATCGGATCTGCAGGGTGAAACGCGTAGTTTGGTTGAAAAAATGATGTACGATCAACGGCAAAAAGAAATGGGCTTACCCACTAGCGAGGATCAAAAGAAATTGGATATCTTAGAAAAGTAAGTTTGTTTTTTTTTTTTTTCATTTTGATTTTTTAACGTTTAAAAGAAGCAGAAAGTGGGAGGAGAACACATATGAATGAATGAATGAATTTTGTAATTTTTATATACTACTTTCAACAGATTCAAGCAACAACATCCCGAATTGGATTTTTCCAAATGTAAATTTAATTGAAATTATCCGAGATATTCTTCGTTCATCAGAACTGCCTCATGTTGCACTCAAACCCGAACCCCTCCGCGATCACTAACTTTCTCCCGAGCTCTTTTTTCATCATTTATGTTATGCTTATCGGCAAATTGCACGCGTAATATATGTATTCTTCTCTATATATGGATTCTCCACCGTATTTATATTTTTATTTAATTTTTCATCATTTACAAAGAAATCTTATTATTACACTATTAATAATTATAATATTAATAAATATTTGCAAACAAATTTTATTAAATAAAAACAAAACTCTTTGGTATTTTATAATTGTGGGCCTGTGGTGGATAAATGGTGGCTTCCGCTTTAAATGTTTTTTTTTTTTTTTTTTTTTTTATTCTTTTCCTCAATAATTCAATATTTTATTATCACCGTTGTATTTATTTATATATTTTGTTTTTTTCTTTTTTTGCAATAGAACACGCTTAAGATCGATTAATTAGCATATTTACTCGTTTATCAGTAACTCTTTCATAGATTTCTGTAAGCGTCAAAGACTATTTTATTAATATATAAATCAATGTTGCGCGCGAATAACGTAAGATAAGGTAAAACGCATTTAAGTTTTAACTGAATAGTTGAGCCCCCAAACATATGTTTCATAAGACGGACCTATTAATGTAACCTAATGTGTAAACAAGTTTAATGAATATTTTTAACATAAAAATGCTATGCCATGCGATCGTATATAGTATTGGTAAACGTTTCAATAAATTATAATCATTGTTACTTTAATAAAGAATCTATATTACTTTGCTTTACACAGTTTATTCTTATTTGCTTCTTTTTTTTTTTTTTTCTCTCTTTTTTTCCTATTTTAAATATGATTGCAAGATAGTTGCTATATGAACATCAAGAGACTTAACTTAAAAAATAAAAAAAAAAAACTCGTTATGTACTTCAAAAAAAATATACATACATACATACATACATACGTATGTATATGTATATGTACATATATATGAGAAAAAACGAAAACGTATATAAAAAGAAAATAATTAGTTTAATCATGAAAACAACACTCTATTCTCGGTATTTCGATTCGATTAATAAGAGAAAAGAAAAAGTTACGGCTTCGACACGTTAGAGCACTTTCATGGTATTTTTCTTGAAACTTACTTACGATGAGATTTTTGAAATTGTTTTCGTTATCGACAAGTGGTTGGTTGGTGTACATTAAACTTTGAAATCCTATTCATCAGTGTGTTGCGGCCGACTTTGTAAGAAGGGGATGAGAAAAGTCGATATCAAGTCGATAAATTGTGGAAAGTGTTTGTGCATGTGTGTCGTCCAGACAATCAATTGGGTTTTTGGCAAATATTTTTTCCCTCCATTTTATGTTTGTTTTCGAAGCCTACCTAACTATATCAAATGTTGCGGTTTTTCTTTTTTCGGCAAATCTGAAGTGAATCGAAAAAATAGTTGCGAATTTCTGCATTATGAACGCCACTTACAAATAAAAAGATACGTCAACAGCGAGAAAGACCGAAAGCGATATACGAAGACAATTAGACTTTACATATATTGAAATTCTTGGCCTTAGGATAGGGCTACCCACAAAACCAGGAAACCTCGTGCATTTCCATGGAAAGTGATATACGAATATGGATCGGTTTATGCTACTATTCATTGCTCGATTTACAACGGAACGGTTTGCGATATAATCGGTGTATGTATAGCAAAATAATGCGAAAAAAAAGAGGAGAAAGATAAAAGAGATAAAGTGAAACATAAATTTTGAAAAAAAAAATAGTTATTGAAGAAACTAAAATCTTTTCAACAAAAATATCAAACATAGTTTAATAAGTGTGAGTTGAACTTCAATATATGAAAAATAATTCCATGCAGCAAAAGCATTGGATCCTTTCAGTAATTGCTGATAATTGGTCAGTTTATCTTTCCCATTTTTTGCCGATCATTCGTATTCGATTCGCCCTTTTACGATACCAACAGTTGAAAACTTTTCCCAACATTTTGCAATTTTTTTTTTTTTTTTTTTGCCTTTGAACACAAAGCTCGATAATTATGAGCAAATATATGAAATTTTACATTCGATACTATCCCGTACCATCAAACTAAAACGAAAACGGTCTAGATCGAGTGAGCGTGCGCGCTCGACAAAGAGAACCCACAAACCGATCGTTTATTCTTAAGCGCTTGCTCTTAGTTTTTCTTTAACAAGTTTTTTTCCTTTTAATGGAAAAAATTTTCGTTTAAAATATTTTTGTTTTTTGCAAGTTATAAGAATACTTTTTGCAAAAATCTGCAAAATTGAATAAGTTTTTCTTTTGCCAGCAAACTGCGTGATTAGCTAAATATATTTTTCATTTTCATTTATACTGATTAGAAGTGGATGCAAAAAAAAAAAAGTTAAAAAATATAAATATCCATATACGCATATATACACACACTTATGCACGTTTACAAACAATTACGTTGCTTTGCGTTATGCCTCGCAATACTTATGTAAACTTATCAAATAACGAAAAAAAAAAAAAACAAGAAGAAAAAAAAATGTGCAATGAGAAAGAAAAAACGAGAAATATAATAAAAATGAAAATAAAAGTGAGGTGAAGGTCGTATATGCACGTAAAAACATCATATATGTGTTTATAAGTATGCGTGTGTGTACGTATATGCAAGTTTATGCATATCTTGTAATTGTTATGCTCTCAAAAAATTTTTAATTGCCTTTACCCAGCAATATTTGTGCGCCAATAAAATCTCTAAATGCATTTACCTACGATATACAGATGGTTTTGGATTAAAGAAAACATATATATAAGTAAAAATAGTCAAAGTAGCTGTAAATTATTAAGTTGAGAAGTAAAAATCAAGAATTCAACCCGAACAAGATTAAAAATCTTTATGACTCATGAAAATTTGAAAAATGGACGGTGGTAGGCAGTAGACCAAGCCAATGAAAGAGCGAGCCAATTGCACCTACAAAACTGATCGAAGAAAAACAGGTAAGAAGATTATATTTGTCTGTAGCCGATTCTTTTGCTCCCTCATAGCCACACACTTTTGCCGTTAAAAAAAAAAAAAAAATATATATATATATATATAGTTTTTATATATTTTCTTTTTTCATTTTGGACAGACACAGTAGCATCATGTTTGCCAAGTTTGTGAGCAATGAGCAAAGCATCCAAATTTTTCCCCTTTGAAAAGCGAGATGATCGCAGTAGATGTATTACGAGTGGGCACGTTCATTGACCGATTTGGCCCATTTTCAATTTTAAAGTGCATACACAAATTTACAAAACCTTTTGCCAAATTTGAAGACACCATTTTGTTTCGGACATATGGACCGACACGCGTAAGTTGTTCCAGAGTTAAAAGTATATGCAGTGTAAGGGATTTTTCTCCTGGATATTGGAAATATTTTGACAATGTGAATAGATCTTCAACTGCTCATTGATGAGCATAAAAAAATTATTTATAACTAAGATGGATAGGTGTTGCTGTACGCTCGCCAGGGGGCAACATGAATTTTAAGCATCTTTGAGTGAAAGTAGTTTCAAATAAATTTTTAGTATGGATTTTCCGAGTAATTTTTTTTTTTTTTTTTTTTGTACGACGATTAATAAATAACGTACTTAGATGGATGTTTAGATGAGTATCATAAAATTGAGTTAGACTAATGATAATTGAAGTTTATAATATAATCCACAGTAATTAATATTATAGCTGTTATAAAATGTACCTATCCATGAGTTGCTTAAGCATCGGAATGAGTTATGGAATGTCCATCCCATACGCCTCGATCATTTTTAAAAGTAGATAAACAATGGCTCCCAGGAAAAGCGGGAAATTCACTCTTTAAATATAAATATCGATATTATTATTATAATAGGTTCAATGAAGTTCTAAGACTAAAGTCGTAAAGCACAAGCATCTAAGGCAAGGATAATCGATACAAGTTCGATACGATAAAAATTGTAAATGGCCAACTGAAACGCTACAAATAAGAAATATTGCGATCTTTATTAATTAGAAGCTTCAATTCAATTACCAAACCTTACGACGTAATACAGAGGCGTTCCTACGTCCAAGGCTTTATGCTACCGTGAATGCAATCCAGCCAAACTGTAAGCATTAGCCTTTCTTCTTTCACTTTCTCTTTTGAATATTTCGCATAGTAAAGAAGTATTAAATATCGTTTAGCTGATTAGAGTTAGTCGCAGCAGATAACCATCGAAATAATAATGGAAATTATTCTCGGCAATTGAAAAGTGAATTTTTTAGAAATCTTGCTGTCATTCTCAAGACATTAAAAGACAGTGTATTGACTATTTTTCGTGAAAATTTGGACATCTTTCAAATGAACGATGCCGCGCTTGTTCGCAGTGAAACAAAAAACCTCGCGTCACAGAACATATGGCCACCTTGGCAAACCGATATGAATTTAAGTTTGAATACCATCTGTACCATCTATAAAGAAAATTTTAATATCATATTCCGGCGAGATTTGGATAAAATGATGATGTCAGTACAGACAATGAAACTTATTTTGATCATTTCAATAAATCATCCTATGAAAAATGCATTGAAATGTTAAAAAACGGTTGGTTTGATTGTATGTGCCATTCTGGCAAAAAGCTAGGTTGATGAATAAGGCGAAGTTTTATTTCCGTTTGTTTACTTTCGGAAGTGTTACACTTTATTAAAAGCGCAATCGGGACTAAAAATTGATATTAATCAAAAGTTGTCCTGGACTTGAGGTCGAGTACGCAATCACTACACAAAACGTAGTATAAAGGTTTTCGTTAATCGTTAGTGTGTCAATTGGCTGATCGGAGTTATTGCTATTGTGAGAAAGTCGTATCAACTTCAGATTGATATTCGATGTGTGTGTGTGTGTGTGTGTGTGTGTGTGTGTGTGTGTGTGTGTGT